TTCTATTAATGAAGCATGTAGCATAGTACTTGGCTCACTAAGGATCATTAAACAGAAATACCTATTATTGTTTTAAACTTATCCAACTATTATACATTTATCATTTGGAATCAATAAAGTTCACAATATTAAAAATGAAATCATGAAAAATATTTATATATTCATTTCTATTCTAAATAAAATGGAGAGACAATTTTTCATTTTTAATGTATTTCCTCAGAATTTAATATTCAGTGCATTAGTCATACTTTAAAATTGCTTTTAATTCAATGGGAAAAAAACCATTTCATGTCCATAGCTTGCCTTTGGTGAGGTCCATTCAAATTAAATTCTGATTAAAAAGTATTGACTATGACCATAAATTTTTTTAAAAAAATCTATTTTTGGTTTCTGAAAGGTGTTTTAATTATTTTTCTTATCTGGATAAAGTTTTGATTTCTAACATATTTCATGCTATTATTTACTTCTGTTCTTTCCTTTTCTGCAAATGAATTTCGCTGATTTCTTCTAAGACATGTTTACATATTTGAACACATTCCAAGTTCTTCATGTTCCTTTTAAGTCATAAAAAAGATTAAACATCCCATTTATTAAATTGAGGATAAAGTTCTCATATTGCTTTGCTGGTTATGGTTCTAGAATCTTAAAACTAATGGCTTTTGTTTCATTACGAGTATGAAAAGGAAGAAGCAAAGTTCGCACCTGGACTATAAAACAATGTGCAGTTTTTACAGACAAGATGAAGCTCACAGAGTGAATGAGAAGAAAATTGCATGAGCAGGTCAATAGGAAAAGTGTACAAGTATCATAAATACTTTTAGAAAGAAAATGAGAGGATGGTTCAGACTTGACATTAAAATAATGAAGCTAGAGTTGAAAGGGAAACTAGACATTGAATTAGATGCAGGATATGGACTTACCTTAAGAATTATGTATGGATTTGCTTTGGCCAGTGTTTCCACATTTGATTGTTGTTTGCATAAAGAAATGCAATGATAGGATGATAGAAATGAGTATAAATGAGCAGAAACACAGCTTCCTCCTCTGCAGGACCTGAAATGAGTCAAAATACAATGAACATCTACCCGATACACCAACAGGAGGGGTGTAGAAAGATGATCACCAACAAGCGTGGACTGGTACTTACATTGGACAGTCAAACCCGATTTCACTACCCTTAAGTCAGTTCCAACACGTCTCAACTCTCCATTGATTTCCAGGGATATCTGTTGTAATGGGAAAAGGCTGCCTGTCTTTTTTCCTGAGGATTCAAACCCCAGGAACCATGCAGCCTTTGGAATACAAGCTCAACTTCCCATGGACTATGCCATCAAAGTGAAAAAGTAGACACCTCTATTTCCATGCTGTTAGACCTATTTGCCCTTACAGCTGTTTTCCAACTGTTTTATTTATTTAAACTTTTTTTGGTTTTTTTTTACGTGTTACTAAACAGATCCAAATGTTTCCGAAAACCTTGACCATCCAACTGACCACAGCAGGAACATTTGGTTGATGTACTTCTAATCAATTTTACCTGAAAATTGCCATCCTACTTCTCTTGATTTAACTCTTCTCTATTTGCTTATCTACCTTAAACTTTTTCTTTATATCATCTAGTATATGGTATGTGGAATCAGGATTAAAGGCAGACTTATTAACAGCCTGTGAAATAAAGATCAGCCAATCTTGTTTGTCCAAAAGACCGAGGCAATTTCTGTTGAGGTTTTGATCCTGTGGCTTTCAGGTGAATTACACCGCAACCTAACAACAATATTTGTTACAGGTGAATCACTAGAAAACATGATAAACAGAAAAAAGATAGAAGTTATTAAATATTTTTTTTACTTGGATCCATAATTAATGATGATCAGTCAAGAAATTAAGAAAATATTTCAATAGAAAAATCTGATACCAATAACCTCGAGTGCTAAAGATCAAGGATATCACTTTGGAGAATAAAATGCATCTGCTCCAACCCATAATCTTTAGAATAATTTTATATACATGTGAAAGTTTTACCAGGAATAAGAAAGTCTAGATAAGAACTGAAGGTTTTCAATCATGATATTGGCATGTATATTGAATATACGACAGAATGGAAAGAAAACAAAATAAACAAAAACCCAAACAGCAACCAAAAAAACTCCCCAAATGCTTAGAAACAAAGGAGAGTGAGACTTCATCTCACATACTGTGGGCATGTGGTCAAGAGGGCTCAATCCCTGAAGAAAGACATCATGCTTGTTAAAGTAGAGGATCTGCAAAAGACTGGAAGATACTCAGCATGGAGGACTGGCGTGAGACATTAACAAGGACCCCACACACACAGCAGAGGCTGTGGAAATGGCACAGAATCAAGTACTTTATTCTGTTATACACAGAGTTGCTATGACTTGGAGTCAATTCAGTGGCACCTAACAGCAACAAATATTTGCAAACAAATATTTTTATTGTATCTGATGTTAGATGGATCTTGGCTGAAAACAGGGAATACCAGAGGAATGTCTATCTGTGTTTCATTGACTATGCAAAGGCATTTGACTGGGTAGAT